CCCCAAAACCCCAAAACCCCGCTTAATTTTTAGATTGGCTTTTTGAATAAATTAAAATTGATCAAAATATTTTTATAATTAAATATTTGACCAATTAAAAATCATTTTCTTGATACTAATGCTATAATCATTTAAACCTCCTCAAAAAATCGATGAATTTGAACTGACTGATCATGAATTTGAAAAATCTGAAAATTATATCTCTACTTTGTATTAGAGTAAAAAAACTAACGATCTAGTAACAATTAAATTCTTCCCTATTGAATTAATGGAAAAAATAAAGAAGGAAGTGATTATTCTGAAGTAGATTAAGCAGAGTATTTAAGATAAAGGATTAAAAACCTATACACCTCTTCCCTAATATTATAATCATGGATTTACACTACCATATTTGATTGTAAATCATTTCGAACCAAGCTTAAATATCTAAAATAAAAAAGGGTTAGAATTCTATCAGATTGCGGGAAAGATGTTTGAAAGCATCAAAGAGTTCCATGAATTAGGCTTTATCCACAATAACATAAGGCCTAACATATTTAAAATATTAAATGACAAGATTTATCTAACTGATTTCTAATTTGCTATCAATGATAGAGATATAGATACAGCTAATCAACAGATTGACTAGATTAGAAGAGATTAATAACATTCAGTTAGTTAAGGAATCCTTCCATCTAAAAAAATTGATTACATCCTTGTGAGCTATTCAATACTATTACTTAGGCACATACCAGATAAAATAAACTAAGGATATAATAATCAATAGAGCATGCATGAACCAATATGTACTATGTTATTTAAACTTTCAAAGTAAAAACACACTGCTTAATTAGAACAAGAAGACAGTGTTATCTTATCAATTTTAGTGTATTTAAACTCTCTGTAAGGCTTTGATCATCCTGATTTTCAGGTGATATAAGATATATTGCTTTAAAGAAAATCTTTAATCTTAGAGATTGATGAGTCTAAAATTACCAAACAAACATCAATTAGTTAATCATCATTCAGAGCTTGTAATGGGAGCACAAATCAATTACCTTAGTCAGCTGAGGAAAGAGGTAGATTGCAACAATAAGTTCCATTATAATAACAAATGCTTTACCAATAGAATTTAAATAATCTTCAAGTAGAGCAAATGATTAGGCACGTTCACAGCCAAAATAATTTAAGAGAGAGTATCTTTTACTAAGATAATAATCAATTTGATAACGATTTCTTAGGCTCAATCAACTCATCATTTTTTTTTGTGAATAAGGAGGAAGCATCAGATTAAATTCTAGAAGAATTTAAGGATGATGAAATATCTTTTAACGGCAATCCTAATGAATAGAGTATTCTTAATACAGGAATGGAAATAATTGAAAAGCAAAATAATAGTTGCTAGGAAGTTGAAAGTGATAGAAATTTGAAGTAGATTACTGAGATTCAGATACAAATATAGCCTCAATATTAAAAAAAACTCTCTATCAAAGACAACGATATTATTAAAAAAGATGAGGAGATTCAAAAATTAAAGGCTATCATTAATATGATTGGTAAAGAAAATGTTGACTATAGAAAATAATTAAGAGAGATGCAGAAATTACTCCAAGAAGCCAAAGAGGGAAATGACTAATTGTAAATTAGATTGAATCAGAGAAACTCCAATTAATACCAAAACTGCGAAGACTGCATTGGTCATATTAAAAAATATGAATCACTTAATGTCAGTTCTAAGAACATAATACAGGTCTTACAAAAGCAAGTAATAGATTGTAAGATGCAAGTATCATAGTGTGAACTTAAAATGAATTAGATTATGATAGCATAATAACCTAAAGGCTAAGTCTAAAGAAATGACAATCTTCCATAGAATTAACCATAAGATGTCTTAAATGAAAGAGGTAAGCTATAAGTCAATTTAAAAAATAAGCATTTTATATAAAAATTGAGGATTATAAACTTTCCTAATACTTAAAATATAGAAAAAAATAATGATATTGAAGAATTAAACAAGAAATATTCCCATCTTGAGAGATGCCATATGATTATTACCTAGGAATTAACTAGAAAAATATAGAGATTTATGAATTGGAAGAGAGGAAATAATTGTGCAAATATTGTTCCTAGCAATTGAATTTTAAAACTCATAGAATTAATATGAGATGAAGAGAAATAGATTAATTTCTATATGAGAAAATTAGAATTAAGATATCCGAGATCAAAGATAGAATATGAATAGTATCCAAGGGATATTTATATTTTAATTAGTAATAAGTTTTAATAGTATTTCTTAGTAATTGATGAATAAATTTAAATTATTTGATTAATCATCTATAATATACTTATTTATATGAGTGGGGTTTTGGGGTTTTGGGGTTTTGGGG